AGAGAGAGAGAAGGGGGGAAGAGAGAGAGAGAGAGAGAGAGAGAGAGAGAGAGAGAGAGAGAGAGACGATTTGTTGCATTATTAACCAATGCATGTAGTTGTTACGTATTTTATCGTGTTATTTCATTATATTATTAATCAATAGCTTATTTATAAGTAATCTCTGTTTTCCAGTCTTACAATATTTTACAATCATTTATCATCACACAAAGAAAAAAATTATTAGTTTTTTTTCATTATTATCAACTTGTCGATAACATAAACGATAAAAAACGTAACTGCTAATCTATTTTGCCTTATAATGTAACGGTAATATAATAACCTCGCGTTTTATGTATAACCCATAAAGTGCGAAGGGAAGAATAGCAACGAATTTTTGTTAACAACAGTGAGATTAATGTAGCGAGTTAAAAGAGTGAATGAGAAAAAGTGACTCGCGCCCGCGAAAGTGCGAAAAAAGCCACTCCCGGCTACTTATGCGAAAGTGCGCTTTATTTGTCGCGACAATTAACGGAGCGTCGACGCAGGCACGCATGCACGCATGACACGCTCGTTATAACGAATGAGCCTCGTCAGAGAAATTCTGTCGTCGTGCCGTAAGCAGAATAGACAGAATCGTTACCAAAATTTCACGTCGCGCCACATCGCGCCGACGAGACGTACAGCGAGATTCGCAGTTTACGCAATCGTTAGTGTAACCGTTGTAATTCAGCCTTACTGCATAGAACGCGATAAAGTAGACGCACACTTACGCGTCGCACACTACCTCCGGCGACTTCCGTGATTCTCGTAAAATATCTCGCGATATCGTCGAGTCGCGCCGCGCGCATTATTCTCCGACGTGGCAGCTACTGCTGCGCGAACATTATTAATCATTTTTGATCATCGCTCGCTGTCGTTGCAAAAATGCCATTTTGTATTTTATATCGACCCATCTCTTGGCAAGTTACAAGACAACTTTCGAATGGGATCGCATCAGATCGAGAAATGCATAAGCCGGTGAAAGCGTCATGTGGGCGACACAAAGCATGTTTGTATCTTCATAATTCGCGTTTGTTTAATCAAATATTATTAATTAAGTATAGGAATACTTGAAATTCAATTTCTTCAATGTTGCGACTGTGGGATTTTGTTGTTTCACATAATTTATTCAGCTGTAAATTTATCGAAGCAGGTAGCCTATTTTTTGTTTCCATGAATTATTCTTTTGCTAATATTTTTTTATACATTTATTTATGACATTTGCTAATATTGCAATAAAAAAACAAATTAGAAAAAATGCAACGTTATGTACTGTTACACATTATTACACAGCGTATACATATATTATATATTTATATATTATATATTA